CAAATATTAATATAAATTATTTATTTAACACTATTTTTACATTTTAATTTGGACTAAAACAGCCTAAAAAAAGATATCTAAATGTTGTCTGAAAATATTCAGATTCACTATTATTGCCCTTTATAGTTGTTATACATGTTATAGTGTTATATATTTATATTGTTTTATTGTATTTGAACGTTCAAGGTTATTTTTGCTATTTGTCAAAAAGTTATTGTATTTTTATACACTTTAAAAAAAAAATCCAACTCTGTTATGCAATGTAATATCATGATAAAACTGTTTACTGTAACAAATGATCATCAAAAATCTGATACTTGTCAAATATCCATCATATGACATGAAGGTGAGTAAATGATGACAGAATGTCTCATTTTGGGTTAACTAGTCCTTTAAACACTGAGATCATGACTGAATCTGGAGCTGAGTGGATCACATGAGCTGCTCCCAGCATGCTCTAGTGCTGGTGTGTTATGGACAGCAGCGGCGGATCAGAGCTGACCACAACAACATTTACTCTGTCAACATCAGAGGAGTTATTTTAGTCAGTAAATCACTAGAGAAACTCAGTGTGTGAGTGAGTGAGTGAGTGAGTGAGTGAGTGTGTGAGTGAGTGAGTGAGTGAGTGTGTGTGAGCGAGTGTGTGTGAGCGAGTGTGTGAGCGAGTGAGTGAGTGAGTGAGAGTGTGAGTGAGTGAATGTGTGTGTGAGTGAGTGAGAGTGTGAGTGAGTGTGTGAGTGAGTGTGAGAGTGTGTGAGTGAGTGAGAGTGTGAGTGAGTGAGTGTGTGTGTGAGTGAGTGAGCGAGTGAGTGAGTGTGTGAGTGAGAGTGTGAGTGAGTGAATGTGTGTGTGAGTGAGTGAGAGAGTGAGTGAGTGAGTGTGTGAGCGAGTGTGTGAGCGAGTGAGTGTGTATGTGAGTGAGTGAGTGAGTGAGTGTGTGAGCGAGTGAGTGAATGAGTGTGTGAGTTAGTGAGTGTGTGAGTGAGTGTGTGTGTGAGCGAGTGAGTGAGTGTGTGAGGGAGTGAGTGTGTGAGCGAGTGAGTGAATGAGTGTGTGAGTTAGTGAGTGTGTGAGTGAGTGTGTGTGTGAGCGAGTGAGTGAGTGTGTGAGGGAGTGAGTGTGTGAGCGAGTGAGTGAATGAGTGTGTGA